CTTTCTTCCCCGTCAATGAACATTCAAAAAAGTGTTCGTCCACTGACGAAGTTTCTCCATCAAAACTACCATCATTGCCAGTAACACAAGAAGGAGCACCAGCAGTAACAACACTACCATAACCATCACCTTCACTACCAACAGCAACAACGACGACGACGGCAATAACAAAAAAAAAATTTCCACTTTTACCAGAGCAAAAAAAAAAATAATAATAATACACATTTAATGAAAAAAATAAGTTTGGAAATGAATGTATCGAAAAAAATAACCTTTTTTTCTTTCCAAAATAACCAGTGATTAAACATACATACAGATATTTCTACAGGATAACATTTGTAATCCATGCTCCATCTTAAATCCATTATTTTATAAAACAATATACTACGAGCAGCAGTAAACACTAAGAGGAATAATCAGAAAAAAAAAAAAACAAGATAGAATAAAGAAAAAAAAAAAGCAGAATAAAATTTGTAGGCATCAAGAATGTCCCCTTTCCCCTTTCGTCTCTGATCTTTTACATCCATGAAAGATCAACATGCAACAACTCCAAAACTTTCACCAATGACATAGCCGATACTGCTGACAATTTTCTCAATGCCAAACTTTTCAAAAATCATTTCGTCAAATCAGTTGTTTCGAAGGACAAATTTTTAAAATATCTATATGCTGAACAAAATAACAACAGCCTAACAACAATTTTTGCACTAAAACTGGCCAAAAACTGTTTGGTGGACTGAGTGGTGCTTAATGCTTTCAATGCTTTAGCAAAAACACACACAAATTTATACATAAAAGATATTTGGACAGACACCAACACAGACACCAATACAGATGGCATATACAAATGCTGGTATACGAAAATACGAATAACTTAAAGCATCAATATATACATAATTCTTTACTTCATATATACATATTTTACTTTAAAGTTGTTTAGAAAGTAGGAGGAAAAAAAAAAGAGAAGAAATAAAAATTGCAATCCACTTTTCTATGACCAATACCATATAGCATTTTACTGAACAAATATTATCAAATTTCTTTTGGTGAACATCAACGACTATCACATAAATAAACGGTAATTAAATGTGCCCCCTATCCTACAATGATAACTGAGATAAATTTTTTTGATTGTTAACCACAACAACACCAACAACGACAACAGCAAAAAAGCAATGGTTTTCTAATCTTAAGCTATAGACGCCCAACAATCAAAAAAAAAAAACATCTTTTACATTTTGTTTGCCAGATATTATAAGTTTTTCAGAAGAACGAAAAATATATATATATATAAAATTTATCAGTTGACGAACAACTCGTGATACCAATCACCCAAAATCTGTCTCGGCGGATAATCACCGCAATTTACTGCTAATTCTCACATACAGTAACAGATCAAGTCATCATCTATCAAATACACTTTCAAACAGTCAGTTCGACAAGCATTGATACATCAATAAATTTTCCACCTTTTTGCAACACTATAACAAATCGAATGTCAAATTGCATACTGAAAAAAAAAAA